CAGCTATTCCTTGCAGTGGGAGTATAAACTCTTCTCCAGATATATACACTTGCTTAAGATGTAATAGATAAAGACGAAGGTAGAAGATTATTTGAATTACTTTCTCTTGAAAGTAATAGCACTTAAAGAAGAATAACAGGAGAGCAGCAAAGCATTCGTGTTTCTGTTTCGATTCTAAATTGGTATAAAGAAGTCTGGCCATCTTTCCAAAGGAATGAATGGTGAAATATGAAAAAAGTGTTTTTTGGTGTTTACAGCACTTAAATTTTTAGTGGAAGCAAACACATTTGTATTAGGTATCTGCTAGATTACTTAGCCATGGGTCAATTTTAATCACATTGTTCTGTGAACATTTTTATTAATTTAATGCCTTCGAAAATTTGTTTTGTTTAGAGCATGGGATTTGAATACTGAAGGAGAGGGAGGAGGCAAAGAATTTGAGATTTGGATGACATTAGATATTGCAGACCCATAAATATAGGCAATGCACACTTCTTACTTGCCTTGTTCTATCATTTTATGTACACACACACACACACACACACACACACACACACACAGATATAAATAAAAATTCAGCAATAGTTGAGGTATGGGCATAGGTGCCACCACTTCAGGAATTAAGTGTTTGGGCAAGAGCTGGTATATATGTGCAGGTATCTGTCTAAATTAAGAAGCAGTAGAGAAAGCTTACATTTAAAAAAAAAAAAATTTTAATGACTCTTCTATGTTTAGGTGATCTTTGGTCTACAATCCCTGTACTTCTCCAGCTCTGAAAAGCTGTAAGAGGTCACACTGTGGCTGCTGTGTCTTGTGGTGGGGTTGCTCTTGGCTCTCAGGTCCTTCAGGCTGTTTTGCTGGGGAGGCACTGAGGAGCTCTGCTGGGACTGCTGCTGGGCACTGAGTTTGGGATATTTGTGTGATGCACTCAATGCTGCAAGGATGGCATTGGTCAGCTCTGTGGCAAGCTCTGAAAGAAGTAGGCAGGAAAGCATGTATTTTTGTGCCAAAATCTGCTCTGCAGTGCAGGGTGATGCATCAGCTAAGCCCAAAAGGTGGGAATGTGCACAGGGAAGTTGGAAGAATTAACAGGTACCCCAGTCTCTGGATGAGTTTGCATGAAGGTTTAAAATAACTGCTCCTTTTATATAAAAAGTCTGGGCACCTTCACTTTGTAATGTTGTGCAATACTTTGGTTTGGATTTTTAAATCTATAGGGATTGAGCTCTGGCTTGTGCTTTAGCTGAGCCCAGGAGGCAGGGAGATGTGAAATGTATTAATTGTGCATCACATTTTCTCTATGATGTTGCTTTTTCTCTAGGGATTTGGTAGAGGGAGCATTGGGACCTTATCACTGTGATTTCTTTTGGCATCCTGCTGATATTAAAATTTATGGATTTCTCTTCAGTTTTTCACCTATAGATTTCAGGGTACTCTGAGGCCAAGGGCAAAGTGAATACATCAATGTAGGGTATGGCCCATTCTGGATGTGTCCATGCAATCAACTCTTGGGCAGGTCCATGGCCCAAGGAGGGTACAGAGACAAGGGGAAGCACCAAAAGAGGTGACAAAATGCAAATACATGCGAATGCTTTGGTTGTCCTGCCTGCTTCCAGCACTTCACAGCAGCTGGGGTGTGGCTGCTGCACGCTGCTGGTGGCACAGAGCAGACGGGGATGCACCGACAGAGTCTGGCCTGGGATTCATCGGGCAGCTGCTGACTGCTTCATTTCCACTCCAGGGAATTGCAGGGAAGAAAAAGGATAAAACAATGGGCAAAGAAGTGCACAGCATTGAGTAACCAAGCAGAAAGGAAGGACATTGAACAGTGCCAGTTGAGAGAAAAGACAGGTACCACTGTTGATTTCTGAAGATGCTGCACAGAAATCTTTGGTGTGGAATGACAGATAGAGCTGGCAGTGACAGCCAGAAAAGGAAAGGGGAAAACCTCCTGGTTTTCAGGCCTTTGGAAACCTGAGGTCCTCACCTCAAGTGAGTGTGTTCTCATGTTCAACACAATAAAGCTGAAAAAGCAAGTGTATAATACGAATTGGTAGAGAGTTAAAATAAGGAAGTTGAACTGTAGCCAAACCAGTGAAAGATAATGGTAGCTTTTTAGTTGTTTCTATCTATAAAAAGAGATATTTATAATCACAAAGTGTTTATCTTTTTCCTCTCCCCTGCAGTTTGGTATGCTCTCTTCTTCCTTGCTGTAGCCTTTCATCAGAAAATGTGAGCTTTGCTTCAAACACTGATAAAAAGAGAGGGAGTTTCTCTTCTAAAAAGTATTTTAGTTGCTTTAATATTTTTGGGGGAAACAGTTGAAGCTAGAAGATTGGCTGAGTTGCCTGCCCAAGCCATAAAATTCCTTTTCTCCATGCTTGTGAAAACCAGATTTGATCCAGCAAAATTATGAGTTACAAACAAATCTTGCATCACCCCACTGGTCACTCACTGTGGTCAATTATAGTTTTGAAGCTGATATAAGAATCAGATGTTTGGCTATTGTGTGTGTCTCCTAATCTCCAACCCAAGTGTAACCCTTTGGCATGACACATCCTATAATTTGTTAAGTTTTGTAACAATGGCTCATTTTGCATTTCACTGGCACTTTTCTCTCCAAGAGTCTAAGAATATGCTTCCCTCTCTAAAGACCAGAGTAATTAATCATTAGGGCTGTTTGTAAGGAAAAGGCCTAGCTGTGGGAACAGAGTCATAGGCAAAGTAGAGAATAAAATTTTTATATCCCACTGCATAAATCACTTGAAGAAATATCTTCTGTATATAATTACAATTTTAAACAATCTGAATTTTATTTGTAAAGTTATCTTAAAACAGTATTTTTTTTCCTCCATGCTTAAGGTGTGTTTTTGTAGAAAAATTATCCAATTCATTTTTTAAAGATGCCATAAAGTGGCTTGTAGCCTAGTTCTTGTTTTTAGAAATCTCTTAGAATATTAGATCATTTTTGCATCTGTTTTCTGCAGGGAAGACTCTTCCAATTAGTCTTAATTTCTATCCATTAAAATGATAAAGAAGCATCTAAAAAAAAATGGGAGAGAATACTTACTAAAATATGCAGGCAAGCCTGCATTTTAAATACAGGTGTTGTACTTCCTGAGCTCTGTACATCCACAGAATATAAATGTTGATCAGTGCACCAAGTGTTTATGAGAGTCAGCCACTGAGTGATGGCAGGAAAATTGGAAGAGCTTGTTTGATAAGCTGTTGTCGCTTTTCCTTCCTTACCTCTCAGCTTTGAATTGTTCCCTCCCCAGTGCTGTGTCAGGTGTCCTGCTCCTTCTCTCCAGGGCACTTTCTTATGAGTTCTGTTACTCTCTCATGACCTTCTACACATTCATGGGGTTGTTACAAGCCTGGGACCAGGGCCAGGAGCTGGGAATTACATCTGTTGCTCCTGCTCCATCTCCAAGATTCGAACAGACTGTTGGGATTTTGTTCTGGTGCCGCTGCTGCATGCAGGGGATGATCCTTGTTTAGGTTGCTCTCTCATGGCCATGGTGGACAAGACCTTTGGTCTTGGTTTTCCCAGTGTATACTCCTGCTTTTTACTTTGGAATGGGTTTATGGAACCTGTGTCACCTCTCTCCTCTCAGGATGGATGCTTTTAGGTCTGTGCTGCAAATACGACTTGCATACTCAATTAGTTGCAGGGAGGAGATGGATGTGAGGAGAGGAATCCAAGGTGGTTTGGTGAAGTTAACAAGATGTCTGAGAAGAATCTCCTTTCAGGTGCATTTCCTGATCAGGCAGTGCTCCAAAGCAGTTGACAGTACTATCAATCTGCTGACAGAATTATTGGTCAGTAGAGTTAGATATCACATATTTACTGAGCTGGGAAACTAAGCAAATTCTTCCCTTGAAGAAAAACTTTAAATATGTACCTCTTCCTTAATGGATTTTGCAAAGTCTCCTTGGCCTATAAGGGCAGAACCTAAACTCTCTATTTAAAGGAAGGAGTAGTAAAAACTAATGGAAAAAATACATTTTCTACTCTAGCTTGTTTTCAAAGGAAATATTTGGAGATGATATTTAATCATCATAAAGAGGTACAATTCGACTGCCTCCAATGGCTCTCCACCTCTACATGTCCCAGTGGGATTGCGAAGGTGATGCTGTGAAAAGCATAGCCAGAGCTGACTGTACACAGAGCCTGGGAAGGGAGGAGAGTTTGCTCTCCAAGCTGGACCAATGCAGCTGTTGCCCAAGGCTGATAATGCAGTGTTTGCTCTTGTAAATACATCTGATTTTTAGCATGACAATGATTTTGGTGAATAAATAGATGCCCTCCATCTATTCTTGAGGGTTTACATGTCATGGCCGAAAGTGACTTTTGTGCCTGAATGAATGTGTATGTAAATCATTTTATGTCAGTAGCTTTACTTTTGCCCTGCACCATAAAAATGCACTGCTCAAAGGGCTTCTGCATAATGGGTTTTTGGAGCCCAAGCAGTTCAATTGCTGCGAGCTGTATTTACAAAAGAAATTCAATCAGCCATCAGTGACACAGCATCTTGATGCTGTCCCTTATTTTGGCACTTGACAGTGAAATTCCCTTGCAGGAAAAACCTGTAAATGTGTTGTCTGTCTCATCTATAATTTGAAAGCTAGTCTTTAGGAATTCTGAGATACCATTAGATACCATTTTGTAATAATTTTGTGTAGGTTTGGAGTAGTTTCTTGGAGGCTTCTTTGAAACTCTCTTGAACTCCCCCTTGAGCAATCCTAGGTTTTTCTGTAAGAGTTATCTCAAGGTGACATCGTAATGAGCTTGAAGATACTCAGAAGGACTAACAAGGGCCCCTTCTACTTGAGTCATCTGTGTTACAGGACATTGTGTCACAGATGTTGGTTGTCTTCGAGCTCTGCACATGCAGGCTGTGTCTTGGAATGTCCCCAGAAATGATGTGGTGGTGGCAGCAAAGTTACCATACAAGCTGAAATTGCATTTGGCTTCTCTTTCTTTTTATCCACTGTAGGTGTTCTCTGCCTGCCAGACAGCTTGAACCTTCACAAGGACCAGCAGAGGTCAAACAAGCCTGGGGAGGTGCAGATGTTCAGCCAGTCAGAGCTGAGGACCATTGAACAGTCTCTACTTGCCACACGCGTGGGGAGCATCGCTGAACTCAGTAAGTACCAGGCTGTTGAGAATGTTTGGATCTCTTTCCTTGAAGTAAAGCAAAGCTAAGTGCATTGCCCAGTTCTGCTGAGGAGAGATGAGAGGGCTGCATAATGTTGAAGGAGATGTTGGGCAGATACCGCTGTGTTCATGCTTCATTGTTAGTTCAGAAGCTGAAGCTACGGGAGGAAAGTGTTGTATAGACTCATAGCAATGCCTGTGGTTTGTTTGCATACATTGCCCTCAGCCTGGCCAGATTTGCAAGTATCTCTTGTATTGGTATCCTGTCTGATTTCAGTGGGATGTCTGTTTTAGGATGGGCAGGCAGAAAGCTGAAGGCTGCAGAAAGTAAAGCGAATATTGTCACATGTTTAGGGCAAATCTACTTCATCCTCTGTTAGAGGAGATCCTTTACCTGCCTTTCCTTCTCCAGCCCTACAACTCAAACCTGCACCAGAGAAATTGGCTCCTGAAAGAATAATTGTTTGCTATTAATCAAATAACTTTTTGGGAAATACAGGAATCTGTGATATTCATCAAAATTTGAAAACTTGGCTTTTGGCACTAATAAATGGTAGGAGGCAAAGGCCATATACGTCGTTATGTGACATGGAGATAAAGTTACCAGAAGTGCTTTATTTAAACTTTTTTTCTTAAGAGAGAAGCACTCCAATCACATGCTTGTGGTCTAGTTAGATACAGGAAGCTATGTGTGGGAAAACAGAATCATTCAGACAAAAAAAATGGGTTTTTTCTGAGGTTTGTGAGAAATACTGTCAACTATTCTTTTCCTGAGGTCTGTTATAAAATTTTGGGGAGAAATTGAAAATACTTTAATCTGTGAAGATATAGGCTACCCCACCTACTGTTGTCCTTGTTAATGAATTGTGCGTTACCAGCATCATAAAGAACTCTTGTGCATTTTTTGGCACTTCCTGTAGCAATGGGAGTCTCCTCTGTACCTCCATCCTATCATCACGGTTCAGTTTCCTCCTGTTCATGAGCGATGTGGATGTACCAAGGATGTTTATCTACAAGACACAAGATGAATTTCTGTTTTCAGCTTGCTAATTTTAATTTGCTCTGGTGCAGCATCAACGAGTCAAGAGCCTTAGTGTGAAGTGTTGCTCCATCTCTGTAATCAGGTGTTCAGTGTTATTCAAATGAAGTAATTTATGCTCATTTATTTCACGTGCGTGAAACCCACAACAGTACTGTCTGTGTGCCAATTAAATTATGCATGATACAGCTCTCTTTCTTACAGTTCATATGGTTGGGGTTTAATATATAAGTAATTTGTGGGTATTTCAGGATGGGTGGCGTTTTTTATTCTGGACTTTTTTGGACCTTTGTACTCAACCCAAAAAGCCAGACTTCTTAGAGGGAGCACCCCATCCCATTTTACGGTTTGACCTCTATCACCTCTAAGAGTCCTACCTTAGTTTCAAATGCTTTGTTGGTAGGGTCTGCTTTCTGTACATCTGTTGACTGCAAACAAAGGCAAAACACTCTTCAGGGTGGCCAGTTGGAAGAACAGAGCACGTCAGTGGGAGTTGGATGCAGCTGTCAGAGAGGCTGGCACATCCAGCAGGCTGGTAGCCCTCCAAAAAGCCCTGTGGCCAGCTCGAGGGATCCTCCCTGGCCGCGGCAAGCAGATGCATGTCAGGGAAGCAGCAGTGGGAGGAGCAGTAACTGGCAAAGCTTGCAAGGCTTGATACGCTCAGTTGGGTAGAAATCCGTGCTGTGGAGCAGGGCTGGTGCAGAGTTCAAAACTGAGCTATGAAATGTGGAAGGAGTTGCAGCACGTTGGTGGGCAAAACCCTTTGAGTTTGGAGGAAAAATCATGAAGTGGGAGGAAAATAGTGCAATGATGGGATACAGTCGGTTTGCTCTTTGTTCAGTGTTTGTGTGTCTGTCTTTGTCATCAGCACTGCCTGTGAGCCAGAGGTCACAGCAAAACCTCTGCCATGGAGGTGGGTGGGGAACCACAGCGTGGGGCAGAAATGCAGAGCAGTGGGGAGAAGGTGGGGGGAACACCTGGGGATGAAGGCAGGAGGCAAAGGAGGATTTATTGTTGCCCTGGTGGTGTGAGGGGGAGGGACATTGTGGAGAAGAAAGACAATATGGCAGGCATTGCCATGGAGAAAATGAGATACGAGGGAAGGATTAAATAGGGAAAAGCGCCTGCTTTTGAGGGGGTGAATAAAGGTGATGAGGGAGACTCCGGATAGGAGGGAATTAAGAGGATAGCACTTGAGGGTCATGAGGAGGAGGAGGAGATGACAACCAGAAGCGGATGACAAGGGCAGAAGCTCAGCTTGTGGACCAGCAGAAGAAGTAGTCCCCAGGCATGTGTCTGCATTTTCCTACCAGCCTGCAATATCCCAGGAGCCAGGATTTCATTTCTGTTCTCTTCAAAAGATCACAAAAACAAGGGCAAGACTAATCTTGCAATAAGCAATTTAATTTTATCTCAGGAAAAAAAATATTTAAAAAAGCAATTCTAATTGAATGAGATTTCCTATAGTTTATTGACATGAATAATTAAAGTATTGTAAGTACACAGAATAACTGGAATTAACAAGTGTCTGTGTGCAGAGGAAAGGCGTCCCCTGCTCTCAGTTCTACCCAGCATCCTTGCATGGAGCAGTGTGATCAGATGCTGAGATGCTGAAGGCTTTAAGACCAGGGGATCAAATCTGTCCCATGGTAGACAACAGCTTGCAAATGAGACCTGTGTTCTGCCCTGCACCTGTATTTCAGCTCACATCTTCTTAATTTCTTTACAGTCTGTCCTAGGTGAAGAAGAGATTCACAGGGTGAAAAGCCTTGTATCATGTGGTATCTTTACCTTGCCCTACCCTTGATGGTCCTTGTGTGTCTGCACCCTTTGTTTTTCATGTATAGTCAGTGTATTAGAAAAGACCATTTGGGTAAGCTGGGTCTCCCTGGGTGTGACAGAAGGTAGGAGAAAACTGGGGAGGGGTGGGATGGCAGACACGACCAGATGGGGAGGGCAGCACCATCTGGTGATGCTGCCATTGAGGAGTCCTCCTAGTCAGACAGGTGCAACTGGACTCATGGATGCTGCTCTGGTTCTGCCAAATCCCGCTTGCCTGGTGCTGCTGCTCTCATCTCCGGGCTCAGCAGGCAGCAGGCACTGGTCCTCGCTGGGACATGGCCTGGCTGGTCGTGACCAGGTGAGGCAGTGCCACTGGCAATGGGGTACTCTCCAGAAGATAGGAAGAAGAGGTGATGTTGCTGACTTAGGGGAAAAAAAAAAAAAAAAAAAAAAAAAAAAAAAGGTAGGTTTTGTCTCCAGGACTTAGGAGGAGAATGTAAATAGACACCTAATTCTGCACCACAGTTACAGCAGTAATGCGTGATTCCAAGGCAAAGGCTTAAAAAATTAATGTGAAACCTTATTCATTAAAATATAATGAACATGGCAGAAAGTTAAGGAACAACAATAAATCTGGTCTATATTATATTGGCATTTAGTATTCAGCAGTTGTAATTGCCTACTACAGTGTATTTTAAAATAATGTAATTTCATTTGAAATGCTTGTTGTATAGACAACATTGGGAAGAACTGAAGCACAGCAAAAAATAATAGGATTTTAAACAGTAGCCTGACATTATTTCATTGTTGAGTCTTAGAGAAAATATATCACAGGACTTTTTTTCCCTTTTTTTCGCACGTTCTTTTTCCTTGAAGTTTCCTGTATTTCCAGACCTGACCTAGTGGAGAAAGGGAGTAGATCTGTTTGGGATTTTTTAGCAAATTTTTGGGATTCTCTTAGATTTCTGGTTCTTATCTTTCATTTCTTTCCTTTCAGATGGGAAAAAATAAGTAGACCGAATAGAGAAAAGACAGGAACATTAGGGAGAGCTTTTGCTGTTGAGAAATCCCATGATACTGCGTTTTGACCTTTGAATATTTTTCCTAACTTCTTTATATGCATGCTTGCAATTCACAAAAATTTATGTTATATTTGATTGCATAATGCTCAAAGACACCTATTCATCATCCATCTAAAAATACTGCTGCTGGCTTGGAGACCAAATGCAGAAGGAATGAGGCTCATAACTGAAGGTCGTTGCTGTTTTTTGGGGTGAAGGAGGACCCTCTTTCTCTTGAGTGTGCACATAAGTGGTGAGAAGGCAGAGCAGAGCCTTAAGATGCACTGGCCAACAATCCAGGCACCGAGAAATACTCATCTTTTTTTACCTTGGGGTAAAGGCTATCAAAGTGTTAGTGTCTGACATGGGACCACCACCCTATGCTGACGTGTGTTCATAGGGCTGCAGAAGGCTGTGTATCTCAAGCAGCACAAGGAGATAAACCATGGTGTAGGATGTCATCAAAAGCATCTCTTAGTGTATGTCTTCAGGTTAGAGCAAAAAACTTGGGGTTTGTTTTGGTGCAAAGACGGCCAGTCTCCTATGGCTTTCCTGGGTGAGAAGTTTGCCACCCAGACTCATGCAAACCACAGTGACTGGTGCTGGTATCACTCTGAGTGTTAACCACAATGAATAATCATTTTCATTTTAAACTGTGATAATCTGAAGATGTGATTTAACACTGCTGATCGCAGAGGCTTTTTGCTTTTGAATGGTGTTTAACTAAGAGCAGTCTCCAGATGTGATGTTCAAGCTGGTATTTCCTCCCTGTCACCACTCAGGTCTCAGCAAAGTTTCCTTTTTGCCATTAGAAAAATGCCACTCTCCATCCCCCTTTTTCATTACACATCAACCTCTTTTTGCATCCAGTGCTGAATGTATATATTTCCAAAATAAAAGCCTCCCAGTGGATCTTGGCACCCTTTTAGGGATGAAAGGAAGGGTTACTGCTCAAGGGTAAGTAGGAATGTGGTTGCACATCCTGATACTGTTTTTCATTTCTCCTCGCAGCCCCAGCTGAGGAGATGATGAAAGTCTGCATCCCCCTCTCTTGCCTTTTCATCTAGTCTCAATCCTCTGCAGCCAACAGGAGCCATACAAATGGAT